CCTGTCTATGAATAAAGACAAAACATGGTTTCAGTATAACAGATTATTTGGATTCTTTGACTGAAGAGACATCGTGGGAAGTAGAGACATTCTCATGAAAAACTAGATCCTGGTTCCTGTGAAGCCAGCCAGCTCTGCAACAGACTGCACTTTAGATAGAAAAGGTAACTATCAATAACTGTAGACATAAGTTTGCATTTTATTATTTATTTTGTATAATAACCATTTGTTTCTGCCACTACCTCTTGTTTCTAGGTAACTCTCCAATCTTTCTTAAATAAATCTATTTTTGTTTTATTATAAGTGCTCACAAGTGCTGTGTGTTATAAAAGAGCGGTAGTTTAAGGTAAAACTAGCAAACTTGGGCACACTGCTCCTTTGGGGCAGAGGTTCTGAGATTTCTGTGAGTAGTCAGTGTCAGGGGCTGGAAATCACAGGGAAATGATTCAAAGGGACTCGGGGACTGTGATGCCACTACTTTGCAAGGCAAAGACAAGGCTGGCATAGCCCAGAGGAGAGTGCTTGAGAGGCTGGTGGTGTTAGGGAACTGACACCCAACTAGGCACAGGCAAGACTCTCTCACACTAGAGGCAAGATGTAGCAAGGTGATTTACAGCCCTCAATGCCCTGAGAACCATCACAGGGGGCAGTAAGGGACAGTCAAGTTGGGGGTTGGGGAGGATGCTGAAAGGGAAGAAATACCGGTATAATGAGGATGGGAAGGCTGAGAGGAGACGTGTATGAACATGAAATATCAGGCAGCATGAGGCTGTGGGAACAAAGGAAGCACCTGGATGGTTGTAGCATGAAACCACTGGGGAAATGGAAGAAACTCTGAGAAAGGCTTGAGTAACCACTGGGAGAGGGACATGAAGGTAGCCATGGTTGGTGGCAGAAACAGCCCAGGAAGGTGGATGGTGTCCTGAAAGAAACTTTACCTAGGCCAGAAGCCTGGGAAATTCAGTCCACAGGAGTCTCTAGAAAACCTGGCAGTTTCTTATTCACAGTTTCAAGGGCAAGTGGCATGTGTAACAATATATGATACTCCATAGTTAGAGGTTCCATTAGAAAATAGAAAATGAAATAATTTATCAGATGTTTCACTTTTCTTTTACCAGAGTGGCAAGGGCTCCCATAAACTTCACTAGAAAAATGTCACATTTAAATAGGTTGAAGCAGTCTCATGAACACTACAGCATTTGGCTTTGATAGGAGCACAACAGAGAGGGACTCTATGTTATGTTTTAAATAGAACATGCAACTTCACAAGCTAAAAGTGCTTCTGTATTTATTTTTCCAAAATGTCAAAGCTGCCCATTCTTTTTCCACCAGCAATAACAACTCATTGATTGTAGTGAAAATATTATGCTTTGGGAAAATGCATAAACTGTGTAATTCACACTGAAATTGACAAAGGCTCTCAGGAATGAAACCCTATGAATGAGCATGGTGGGTCAAAGCTGGGGAATGGAACTTGCAAGTGGAAGGAATGCTCAGAGACATCAGGGAGAACGACTGTGCAAACATGTTGTCACCCCTCTGCCAAGTGGTTGTAATGTTGAGACCTTAGAGCGTTCAGTTTGTTGTCGGAAGAGAAATCAGTGATACGGAGTCTGGGTATTTTCTTAGTGTAACTTGTTTTACTTACACTATATACACAAATCCTTCAACAGAGGTGGTCAGAAGTGCCACACAGGCAAATCCCTCTTTCAAAAATCTCAGCCCAAATCCCAATGCCCAATTCCCAGGAAGCAACTCTACTCCTGGTGTTGACTCTAGCTAGAGAGATTAAGGTGGAGAGCAAACTCCCTTGCTGTTTACGGCAGTTTCTAGAAAGAACCTGTACCCCCACAACTAAAAAAAATATGGCATTTCTTCAAAGACTATATGTTGCTCACACCCTAAGAAAAGCAACTTGTAAGACTTAGTGTAATAGCACCATTTGAAGACTTTTATGTTGAGCTCTAAGAATGGAACCCTAGCCACAAGAAAAGAAGGAATTCATGATGGCAGCTTAGTGGGCAAAATGTTTGAAGATCTGAAAATGGTACAGTATGTTGTGGAACTATACAGCACAGGCTGAGATCACGTAACAGAACTTTGTGATCAGCATGTAGTACCAATTCAAAAGGAATTAAAAGCTATATATTGTAAGTATAGCAACCTCTTACTGGAACCTCACGGCTGCAATGCATGTATAGAGACCTGGGAATAGAATTCTGACTAGACAGCATGTTCAGAGACTCAAGACTTAAATTCCAAACATGGGTGGGCCATTGGAGACTCAGTAAAGGAACTCTGTGTGAGATCTGAAAATAGAACCTTATGAACAGGGCAAGTACGCCAAAACTACCAATGGAACTCTACACACACCATGCACAAGGGCCCAGGAATGAGACTCTGCAAAAAAGCAACTTGTTCTGAGACCCAGTTTTTCACTCTAATTTGAACTGTGGTAGTGGCACATAATAAGAGCTAGGAATGGTATGCTGTGAGCAGGTAGGTCAAGACTAAGGATAAGAATTTTGGAAGTAGGTGATGGATTCAGAGACCTCAGCATGCAACATTGTCACCATGCACCATGTGATGAGAGTTGGAAACAGCTCATGCACAGAACAGACCAGGTACTGGAACTAGAACCCTGGAATGTGTGGGCTGGGTCAAGACCTGGAAATCTGGAAGTGAACAATATGCTGAGACCCAGAAATGACAACCTGGTCAAGACCTGGGAATAGAACCTTATGTGTAGCACAAGCCAAGACACAAGATTGGAGCCGTGCAAGTGATTGGCACATTTAAAGACCCAGGAATGCAAGTGGGTTGAACATACTGAGTGATGAAGTCAGATCAAACCAAAACATGGAAGCCTGAGTGTGCAGAAAATACTGAGACCTGGAAATGGAGCCCTGTGACTACTAGACAGAAACCTGGACATGGACTGTTGAGACAATGGGGTGCCTGCAAACTCTTGGAGAAAAGGTTGTTGTGATGTCAGGCACATTCAGAGAGAGGGGTGGATCTCTATGCAAGGCGTGTTTTGGCCCTGTAGGATAGGACCTTCTGCGACCTGATCAGACAGAACCCTGTGCCCCTAGAACACCTTCTTACCCTGGGGGGCAGAACATGGGATTGCCTTATTTAGTTTCTGATGGCCGCTCAAGGCTGGGGGCACCATCAGAGACCTTGGGCTTGGTGACAAAACCTTATGATGTAATTATTGGGTGTTGTGTAGACCATGGGATGGAGGGGGGCACAGCCTGGAGAGAGGGATGAACTGTCTCCGGGAAAGCCTGTAACATGGGGTTGGGTGGTCTCCCTCCGGCAGAGGCGTAGCGAGCGCCCTCCGTACCCTCCGACCGGAGGGGGCCCCGCAAGGAAGGGGGCCCCTAAAAGTGGCAAAATAAATACCGCATTCCAGTTTCTGCATTGTAAGGGGCCCCGCCCAGACATATGTTCGGAGGGGGCCACGTTCTTTATTGCTACGGCCCTGCCCTCCGGAGGGCAAGGGCAGGGAGATGAAAGGTCTCAGCCTCTCCTCAGCGGGAAAGGGAACCCAGGGCTGGCCACCCCTTCCGGAGGGCAGGGGGAGAAGCCCTGCGTGCGGCACAGCCCGAGCAGGGGCGGGGCACAGGCTGCTGAAGGGGGACCAGTGGGTCGCGGCCTCGGTGCCGGTTTCAGGCTGGGAGCCTGCCTAGGAGCGAAGGTGTCAGACCTAGCGGGGGCAGGCTCAGGCGGGGCGGGCGGGTAGCGCCCTGCGTGGACCGGTCCCAGGCCCGAGGCTGGGGAGGGACCCTCGTACGAGCCGAGTCCCCCCGGGAAGTGTCCCCCGCCTGTGGAAGTGACTCGCGCTTCAACCTGCCGCGCCCCCTGGTGCAGCCAGGGCGGGCCGGGCAGGTGCACGCCTGCAGCGGCGTGACCCAGCGTTGGAGCGGTAACGGGCTGCTGCGTCCCTGCCCAGCCATCCAGCCGCCGCTGCTCTGCCACAGGCGGGGAGCGTGAGCGCCGCTTCCCTCCCTCGCCGCCGCCAGCCCCGCTCCGCCTCCGCCGCCCCGCAGCGCCTTAGGAAGCCAAGCGCCACCCGCTGCCCCCCAGCCCCGCACCAGCGCCCGCCCGCCTGCCCGCCCAGCCCAGCGACCATGGCCCCCGGGAGGTAAGCGAGCTCCAGTCACTGCTCCTTCGCCGTCCGTGCCGCGCCGGCTCCCGCCCGCCCGCTGCCAGCGCCGCAGCTGGCACCTGCCCGGCACCTTTCCCGCGGAGTCCGCGCGCCCTGCACAGATGCACTGGGGAGGCGCCTTCGTTTCCCCTGCAGGGAAAGTTGCTTCCCGCTGCCCGAGCGCCCCTTTATTTCTCCCCAATGTTGCCATTGAGATGCTGCTGCCCTGGCGGGTGTACTTCCGGGTTCACACCTTCCCCCCACCTCCACCCCCCTTCTCCGAGGGCTGCGGTTACCCTGGAGAGGATCAGACGCCTCGGAGCCCAGCGGCAAAGTTGCAGCTTCCCCTGGGGGAGGGGAGAGAGTGTCTTGCATGTGATATTACAAATAACAATAATAAAAGGATCGAGAGACAAGAGCCGAGCCTCCCTGGCATGCAATCCTGGTGTCACCCCGGGGTGCGCGAGGGAGAGCGCCAGCGCTCGCATGGTGCATCTGCAAAGTGATGGGCTGCTCCAGGTGTGAGCACAAAGGGATTGCATTAACTTGCTCCGGTCAAGGTACAGGTTGGGATGCCCGCAGGTGAAACTGCGCCCGTTCGACGCCAGGGGGCGTCCCGTGCTCTTGGGATCCCTCCACTCCCTGCCTTTGCCCCCTGATAGGAAAGAGATCTTTGTATTTGTAGCCTACCAAGGAAACAATCTTGCACTGTCAATATGTGTGTGTGTGTGTTTGGGGGGGAGGGGAAGACGCAGAGGCACAAACACAAATTAGGACTTTGGAGGAGCGGAGGAGAACGATCTTGGAGCTTGAGCTGTTGCAAAAGGAAAACGAAGGAGGAAAGTAGATGGGCAACTACATTGTGTTTGCCAATCGGTGCGTCGGCTTTAAACTGACTAGAGAGCAGAGGATGCAGCTGCCTTGTACGGATTTGTGCCCCAAAGGACTGTTTTTTATTTGCACCTTGGTAACTATTCCTGCCCTTTAGTGCTTTTTTGTGTGTGAGTGTGGGCGTGGGGGGGATGCTATGCATAAGATCAAATAGTAATTCCGTGTCCTCTCTACGGGGGGTTTAAATGTAAGTAATGGTAAGGCCGCCATTTTGAATTGTTTCATGCAACAGAATGAAATCTTAGGTCGATCTCTGTGATTCCTTGCATTTTCCCCTCGGTGTTTTCTATAAATGGCTCCTAATGGTGCTGTGTATAGTTGGGGTCTTTTTATAGTAAACTTAAAAACAAAACCCATGTAGCACTGTGCTGTTCTCCTGTGAAGTTGTCCTGTTGATGGCATGTAATGTAAGGGGAAACAAATAAATGTCTTTAAACTATGTAGTTTCTGTTTTCTGGTTTCAAACACTGATAGAAATCTGGCTATGTCAATTTGATTTATGAGTATAGACTAGAATGGCTGGCTTTAGAACTAGTTTCAGAAGTATATATTTCTCTTTTAGCAATGTAAAATTGAATTCCATCCTGGTCCAGGAAATATTTTGTATTTAATTTCTTGTTTTGAGTTATATTTGTATTGACATTGTAATTAAGCACATGGTATTTTAGTCATCTGATTTGGCAGAAAATCAGTCAATTCAAACCCTGCATGTATATGCATAAAAGATCAGAAAACATAACTATACACTTAATGTTGCTATTTAGTCCAAGCTCTTTTAAAAGCATAAGACCAGTATATTTCAAATAGTGTAAAATTCTAAAGTAAGTTTTAGAGGAAGAAAACTCAAACAAGTGTTAAACCTATCTATTTTAATGTGTTAACATTAGATAGATCACCTAGAAAAGATGCTATGCATTTAATTGATAATCACTTTCCCTGAGTGTACTTACTTGATATCTACTTAGTCTCATATTGTAGTATAAATGAATGAAATAGTAATACAGGTTAGAAACTTTTGCTGAAGGATTTAGGCATGTTACTTATGTAACCAGCATTAGATTAAAAAAGCCATTAACTAATATTCTAGTTATAGTCTGTTTTGGAACTTCACATTTTCTGTGCATACACTATCTAACTACATCTACAGCAAAGCATCTGTTATCAGTATTAGCTACTCTTAAGAAAATAAGAATTGTAGCTATAGTTTTATAATAGTCTAAATTGTTTTCAACATTTTAATTTAATGAAGCATCCATCAAATAATTTATATTAAACTTTAAACAACCATTTAGAGTTAGATTGATACTGGATTGTACAGTAAACCATATAGGAAACGGACATTTCATTTTTAAAGGTGTAAAGATGATACATTATTTGTTGGGGGAAATATTCTGCCATTCACTTCTTTGAAAATTATTCACAGGCTATGCAGTTAAACTGTAGTCTTCTGAAAGATTGACTACTGTACAGCAAGAAAGATCACTAAAATCTGGAATAAATATATAACCTCAAATTTATTAATAAGTATACCAAGAAGCCAAGTTTTCTTTGTTCTCATGAAACAATGTAACACAAAATAGCAAAGTAATGGTTACTTATAACCAGACTGTTTAGTACATATTTAAAAACAGCTGTAGTAGAAAATACAAGATTGCATGAAGAAATGAGCTATCAAACTTATATGTTTATAAAATGAATGCTGCAAGGGAGATAATTTGAAAAAAAAAATCTTACCAGAAATCAAGAGTAAAGTCAATGTAGGAGACACATTAGCTGACATGTATTAGAAACTTCAGGAGACAGGAGAGAAATAATGAAAATTTCATATATCTAGGCCCAAATCTTCACTGTCTAAATCATTGCTAGGATGCAGTGATAAGTCACAAGCAGTGTTTCAGATCACATTCTCCAAGCATAAAGATAACTTAATAAGGCTTAGGCTCTTAAAGGTTCCTTTTTTCATTTTGAAGTAGCTTTTTGTTTGCATTATAGTTAAACAATATGATTTATAATGTGATCTTGGGGAGGGAGAGAGAAAGACCTACCAGATGATTCTCCTATTACAATATGTCTGGATAGAAGGTAGCTTCTAAAGAAACCATTTTTCCTCCACAATGAGCCTAAAAACCATACATTGTGAGGCATGACTGTTAACTTGTTAATCAGAATAATAAGATTCCAGTTCTCAAGTATAACTAAAATTCACACTATTTATAGCTGGCAGATGTACTTTATAAAGCCAGCTGTATTTTGAAAATATGAGGGTACATGCCTTTATGGAGTAGCTCCTCCTATGACATGATACTGTATGATGTCGCTGACCGGAGTGCTGAATCAAGACAGCCATGTTGATCACTACTAAATCCAACTGAAAAACACATCCTGAAGTTCTGTGGAGGTTCAAATACAAGAATAACTATAGTAAGTTTTTTCTTTATTATCTTATTTTTACATCATTCATTCACTAAGTGAAGTAGGCAGATAAATGCTGTCTCAAGGAAGCTTTTTCCAGTGAATTGTATTAGTTTGGTATTGAATGAGTATAGGAAAATCAATTAGATCAATACTATGGCACTCTCTTGTTTTGAAAATGGTCCTTTACCACCATAAAGACATTTTAAGCCATCTTACATAAAAATAAAGCCTAATTTAAAAAAAATCACATTTTTGAGTCAAACAATTTTTAGATCTAAGTTTGCTATTAGCCATTTTTAAACACAGTTTCAGATTGTGAAAGGGTATTTTGAGAGCTAAAATCCAAGCATATGATTAGTGAATTAAAAAAAAATCAATGATGATATGGACAAAGTCCATGTAATTGCATATACCCATTAACAACAACAACAACAAAAGATATGAGCATGAGGTTTTTGTTAAAGAGTTAAAATTTGGAGGAGCCAAGCAGTCTATAGGAGAATCTCCTCTAAATTTGTTTTGTGTTCCAATATCTCTGATAGGAAGAGCTCTTTCTTACATAAAGCATTTTGTGGACTAGTTCATGATGTATGTTATTTCAAAAACAGTTGTATAATAAAAAAGCAAAATAGTTTTAATTTCCTACTCTTTTTGATACATAAGTGGTAAAAATTTAAACACAGGACTTTTTGACATACTGCTTCTAAAAATAGAATGACTTGATATGCAGGATCCTCAAATTAAAGGTCAAAGGTGACAAACCAGGACAAAGGTCATGCAGCTCATTTTCAAGCAATCAGTTTCTAGTTTTTTCATGGCTGAACAAAAGCTTAATTATACAGGAAAAAATAAAAGAGGCCTGTAATGTTAACTGATCAATTTTCACAAAGAAATAGAGAGAGATTTACAGAATTTCCCAAATAATGTACATTCTCAACTATGGTTCTTAATACTGAATTTATGCTGACTTTGATAGAAATATGTATATACATGTTTAGGTTTAAACACTAAAATTTCCTCCTTAATTTAGTATTTTACCATCTCTAACTGGTCTAGATGCTAGTAGTATGTACAATTGGGAATTTGTAGGACGGAATGCAGTCTTTTTCTAAATAGTATATGGTAAAGTTCTTAGGTTGCCAAAACATTTATGTTCATTCATATATATTTAATGTTTGCTTTAAACAAAATTCTAAAATTGAAAACCATGTATTCTGACAGTGGTGTGTTTGTAGATACACACTAGGTTAAAAATAATCCCCTTCCCCTCCAAAAAAATCTATCCAGAATAAATGGCTCTCTATATCAATAGCTAGTTGCTATCAATGAAACTGCTTCTATTTTTTTTAATAGATTTTATTTTGTTTGAAGAAACCTTGTTATTATTTTATTACATGTAGTGTTGTGTTCTGCTCCCCCACTACCTTTCAGAAAGGTGTGGGTTTTTTTGTTTTTGTTTTTAACTACAATTACATTTTAAAATGCTCTTATATCTCTGTATGTATGCATGCTATTTAGGCCAGTTATTTTTAATAATTTAACCCTGTTAAATGCATCTTACATCTATCTATCATCACTATCTATGTTACTAACAGTACTTCAATGCATAAAAGGTTTTTTAGTCTGGCCACAACATACATATATAGATTGTTAAACTGGTGTTGAAAATATTTGCACACTGAGCATTATTTTTGTAACTCAACACTGACACTGATTTGTTTAGTAATATTTTAGATGTTCTACCACTATTGTACATACTTCATAATAAATTCTTGCATGTGCAATCATTTTTGTAAGAAAATAAAATTCAAGATGACAATTTCTAATCTCCAAGAATTTAATATCAGTGATACCGTTCTGTATTCTCATTTTAAATTAATAAACAATTTCAACTAAAACAGACAAGAACTACCATTGCATTATTTTGTTCAATAACTTATTTTAAACAATGACTCAGCAGGAATGTTTATTATATGGAACTATTTTCTTTTACAATTAGGAAAATTTCGAATACTCTGGACTGTTTATGCTGCATTACCCACACTTATGTGAAAAGAAAATGTCAATATTAGATTGACATTAGTGCTGTGAGCACTGTCTTTTGACAAACCACACATTATACCATTTTACTTTTAATATGTTTTCTTTAGCTTGGTTGCTTTATTCCTGGTAAATTCCTAATATTCACACCAAAAAGAAGACCTATGAAGGAGCTGAATTTAAGCTTGTGAATCTGTTAGACTCCTAAATGATAATTCACTAATAATAATTACAGAAAAAACTTGGTGTTTTACAGATAAATGGCCTGTATAAAAGCAACAAAAGTAGTGTGGGGCGCAAAGGATGTAGCAGAGGTGAAGTGTTAACTCCATGAAGAGTAAATATTAATTTGAAGTACAACAAATGAACTTAGAAATGCTTCTTTAGAATCTACAACCAATCATGCTGAAACTTTTACAGAAGTATATGAATTTTTTTAAACATATAGAATATTTTTCAAGTAAAATTTTAAAAAGTAGTGCAACACATATAGAATAGCAATTTCATCCACTGAAGTAGTTTTAACATGATTAAGTTCAAATTGGCAAAAAGTGCTTTTATTACCTGACTGCACATTATACGTTATGCAGTTTCATTTTATTTATAGATCCATATTCTAAT